ACCAATATTAACAACACTCTCCAACGCAAACTCCACTCCCAAATCTTCCTCTTTGATGAATCTGATAATGGGTTGGACCAACAAAACCAAGAAAAATTTAAGGAGATAATTAAGAAACTGGCTAAGGGAAGAGTAGTTGTTTATATTAAGCATTAAACAAAAATTTTGCGTTTCTCACAACCAAACTTACTATAAAATAACAATATAGAGTAATATTACTATAAACTCTATATAAAAATAATTATATATCAATAAATAAAAACATTATGACACATACCTACATCAACAAGAACGGCATCCCAGTTTATGCCGAACAAAAAATTATCCAAACTGATTTACAAGCCTAGGATATTTTAAAAACCAAAACTCCTATACCAGATAATTTTCTCAAATTAGAAAGCGAAACAGGAAATTATTGCGGTTCTACTAATCCCAAATGAAAAGTTAAACCCTTATGTGAAAAATTTGGTTTTATGCTTGACGGGCAATGAATCCAATTAGATATCCCCCATACCATTATGAAAGAATTAGATTTACCGCTCGGTGAGGATATTCCTTATCCCGTTTATATTTCCCCTTCCGTAATCAATAGAGCCCCTACTTTTGGAGGCATAACTATTGAAAACAAGAAAGAAATAATTATCGATAAACCTTTTAGTAAAGATCAAGAATGTCAAACTAATTTAACCGGTCAACAAATATTAAACCAAATTAAACAATTACAACAAGAAGACCAATTAAATCAGCAAACTATTATCAATCTCCAAGGAGAAATAGCGGAATTGGAGACTAAATTATTAGAAATTGAGAAATTAAAAAATATTTGACGCAATAAATTTTTAGAAGCCAAAGGCAACCAGAACCAAGAATTACAAGACCAAATAACTACTTTGGTTGGAGAAAGGGATAATATTCAGCAAGATATTAAATAATCGACAAACAGAAATAAGGCGTTTAAATAACGCTTTACAAACTGCCCAACAAGAAAAAGAGAAAGTTGAGCGAGATTTAAAAAGCAATCTACTCGGACTTTTATTCAAAAATAAGCAAAAGAATAAAAGAATTAGTGAATTAAACAGCAGTTTATCTTTTTTGAGAGGACTATTGGCGGACAAAAACCAGGAAGCAAATGATTTAGAACAGCGATTAATCGCGACCGATACTTTAATCACTAATACTCAAAATCTCTTGGGAATAGATGATTTGAATAATTTGCCAGTCTTACCAGAGGGGGAAACATTAATTACTTTAATAGCCCGACCAACCCAAGCACAATTACAGGACAAGCAAAATGAAGTAGGTCGAAAAAATGATGAGATAACTGAACTTAACAGGACAATAAAAAAGTTAGAGGATGAAAAGAAAGTATTAAAAGATGAGTTAGATATAGAAAAAGGTTGGTGGGATAAGTGGTTGAATGATAACGAAAGCCATTATTGAGGGGATAATTCAGCAAAAAAATTTAACGACGAAAGAATGTTTTTTGGTTTCTTTGTAAAAGACTCAATTCCTTACGAGCCTACTAATGATTTCCCTGGGTTTGAGAGAGTTGATGTTAATTTCAGAAAACAAACTTCTATTTATCCTTCTTCTTCTTATTCTTCTGCTTATTATCACCATTATAAAAAAGCCATCAAAGACCTAATCTATGAATATTATAAAAACCAAAACTAGCAATCATGGCAGAAAATATAACTTTGGAACAAAAAGAGGAAAACCGACAATATATCCTTGATAACTTGGATAAATATACTATTGATGCTAATGGAGATTTTTTTAACGTTGACCCTGAAGTTTTAGGGGAAGAATATGATTACATTAGTAAGAATGCTTTAACTTGAAAAGCAACTGAGGAAATTAAAAAAAAGATGACTGAAATGATTATCAAAAATATTAAAGATTGAGAATTAATTCTTTTTGATACCGAAAATGCTTATCCAAACTTTTTTAAAAACAAAGAAACTGGTTTGATAATAGAGAAAGGACGACTTGGATATTGAAATGAATATTACATAGTGGGTGAGTTTGGCTACCGAGGAGGAAAATGGAAAGAATACGAAAAATGAAAGGAGGAAAGGCAAAGAAATACTTCCGCTTCGTCGCCTAACCAACAAACCCCACCCTCACCAACCAATCCTAAAACAGCCCAAGACCAAACCACCAAAAATCAAAAATCCGAAAACCCCAAAACTCAACCCAATCCTCAAAAAAATCAAAATCAACCCCCTCAAACCCCCACTCCCACTAGCATCAACAATAACCCCGATAAATCCAATTCCAATGAA